GCACTCAAAAGTGACTGGGAGGGAAGTAAGGCTCCCTCATAGGGGCCCACCAGGAAGCTTTAGGCATGAGGAAGCTTCACCAGATTTGCAACTTATGGAAACAAAGGATCACTTCAGGAATGTAAAAATGGCAGCATGTTGCAGGGTGTCTGGCGAGTTAAATAAGATGTATGGAGGAATTACTGACTTTCCAAAGGTCTGTGATAAATGGACTAAAGGTGGGACTGAGAGAGATAAAGGAAAACAAAGTACCTCTTGTTAGATCAGATACAGACTGCTGCAGGCTGGACAGTTACTTCCCTAATCAGATTTAAAAAAAACAAACAAGTTTCATAAGAAACAGCAGTTTTGCTGACAGAACACTAACATCAGATCTCAATGCAGAATGAACCAATTAGAGTTTTAGTCCAAGACACTACCTCTTGCGTTAGTCTGATCTGGTCTTTCAGGAAAAAAAGGAAGTTATTTGGTGCTTAAGTGTCATGGTTCATGCCAGTCCTGTCTTACAGGCATGCCCCTTCCTGCTTTAATACATTTCATTTACTTGTACTCTTACTGTTCTATTAAAAAGGTAGTGTTGAAGTCATGTGGTAGCTGCGATAGTCCAGGAAATGCAAGTGAGTCAAGGATGTTTGTGGTTGTTATCCTTTATATGCATATACAGTTGGTCCAATAAGATATCACCAACAAACATTCTTGCTTCTGTTCTTTAAAAGCCACTTCCCTCAGTTCACACTTCTTGTATTCACTATGTCATTAAACAAAAGATTAAAATATCAGAGATTTCAGTATAAAACAAGGAAAAAGCACAGGTCTGGGCCTGAACACCCATTATACCTGGTTTTCTGAAAGTATAAAGGAACACTAACATTTGCTAGAGCCTTCCAATTTTCAAATACACCAGAAGATCACTGGATCAGCGTGCACCTTATCTCAGTTCCCCACCTGTGTTCTCTTCCTTATACCCACAGAGTTGTGTTTGCTCAAGGAAGGGGGAGTGGAAGCCCATTGTAATAAAGGCAATTAAGAGTAGCAAGAAGTGAATTGGAGCAAGGAAAGCACAGAAAAGCACTTAATGGTGAATGAGCAAGGAAGGGAACTCTGCCAGTTGTAGAAGAGGTTGGCAAAGGCACAGCTGTCAGTCTGGAGCGCGATTCTGTTTGATAAACTACCACAGAAAGAGACAGGAGCTGGACAAGCTTGAGTGGAAGGAAGGGGCAGAAATCTGACGATGCAAGCAGCTCTGCTGTACAATCTCTGTCTTCCATGCTTCCCCCAATGATCATTCCCTGTTCCACCCTCACATTGTTGCCTCCCCCTCAATCATTTCAGAATTCCTACAAAATTAAGCACATTTCATGACTTCAGAAAGGAAATCCTAGTCACAGCTTTTAAGCTCTCTCTTTTGGTGGGAGCCAATCAAATCTCTCCACCCTTCACCTTTCACTCACTATTAGTTATGTTCCAAAGGAAAAAAAATCCACATACGTCGCTCTCCTAGACTTTAGGAGCCACACAACGGCAGTTGCCTTGGGAAAACCACAGTGTGATTTAAAAGCTCGAAGGTCATAAAAGACGCTGCACTAGAAGGGAGCATAAACTAAGCTGCTGTTCTTACAATAACTGTGGAGAGAAGGGATATAAATGAGATTTTTTTCCACCACCCCTCCATTTTTTCTAAGCATGAAAACACAGGCAGAAATGGAAAGTACAGCGAACGGTGCATCTTTTCCGATGGATCACGATGGCTTCAGAACTTGCCAGAAGAAGACATGGGATTCTTCCCTTCCTTTACCATCGCTCCCCTCCTCAAAAACCCACAACTCATGTTTAGGTCCACTAGGATTAGAGTAAATTAACAAAAAAAAACCTCTCCACTTCCCCACCCACCACCCAACTAATAAGTTAGGATGTTGCACATTCTACCCAGTCTCCAGACCATTTTAAAATAGCCCATGTTCTAGGTTACACATATAAACAGGCATATGTAAGGAAGATGCATTTTTGGTTATCAGAGCAAACTACGAAGCAGGTACTAATGCAACATTAGAATTAGAAAGCACGGTGGCAGATGACGATGAATACATTGGAAGCAAAACTTCCTTCCAACATTGAAGAAAGACTTGTATTGAAATAAAAGAAAACAAACTGATTCCTGAAGCCCTTCTACATGCACTTCACCTTAAAGGTTGTATGAGCTTTGTAGACCAGTGTAAAATTACAAATAGAATTGGGAATGGAAAGATGTGCAGCTACCCCAAGGTAGCTGGACATGGCAGGAGGACAGGTAAAAGCCTACTGCATGTTAGCAAATAGCCACCTGGGACAGACAGACCAAACTTAAACAAGAACTTATGAGAGTAGAGTTTTACATCAATTTTTCCATGGATAACTCTTTACCAGTTTAGGTGACATTCCTCCAATTTAGGGGTTTGCATGATCTGTTTGCTACTCATTTTTACACAGGTACACTGCTGATTACACTAGTACAAATACAGTATCTGGCATACGGCCTAGATGAATAGTTCTCTCCCATGCTACCAGCCCTCGCATTCATTTGTGTTTAAGTGTCACAAAACCTGACAGACATGGTAACAATTACACATAAAATACAACTGTTGTTTAAAATGCAGGGAAAGGAGGAGCTTTGAGTAGCAAAGGAACTGGCATTTCTCTGCAGCTAGTAGAGGAGCATAATTCCTCTCTCCATTTCCCAGGTACCCAGTGCTGTCTCCACGTGCCTGAAGCTCATACTGAAGTAGAAGTGGAATTAAGTCCCTCCCGTCACTTTGCCTTTTAAAGTGTGTCAGAGAAGCCAGTGCTGAAACACAGAAAACATGCCTAAAGTTCTTCCACTCAGGCACTGAATATGGCAGTGCTCAGGCACTGCCATATTCAGACTCCCTGAAATGCACAGGATGATTTTAATCCTCAAGCAACTGCATTAGCCATTAGCAAATCCATCTACTGTTGGGCAATATTCAAGACTTCAGAAGCCATCCTACTAGGCATGTGAATCTCATGAGAGAGATGTGGCATTTTTACATGTGCCCCAGGGATGGGGTGGGGCAGCGCTTTAATTCGAGTGCCTGGAGCATCTTGTGTATCAGCATCCCGTTTCAAAATGGCGTTGGGAGTATTTTATCTAAAGCTTGAATGAGCTTTAGTTAAAGCGTCCTGGCTGCCATTTTGAAGCCTAGGGACAGTGATACATGAGAGTGGAGGCTGGCTGGAATGCATTAATTACCATGCTCCAGCAGATTAAGCAAGTCTGCTCAGATGCGATTACAGAGCATTGGAGCAGCCTCTGGGCCTGTGTTCAGGCACCCATAATGACCAGACGTCCTAGGTGCTAACTAAAAAAATGCCACGAGGTTAAAGACACTACCACTGCTGAACTTTTTAACTGAAGTCCATTAGATTGAGAAGTGCACCTCTGGCAAAGGGCAATAAAAGCAGGACAGTGTCAGTATTCTTGACACATTCACCAACAGTACCCCAAACACTGGTTGCGATTCCCTAATCCAGTGGAACTCAGTCCTGGCTGCACAAAAGGCACAAGAGCTGTCTGTTAACCAGAAGGCCATGCCATATGCACTGCTAGGTGAATAGAGGCAGTGCAAAAGAACAAACCAAGGGCCAAAATGCAGGGCAAATTTCCAATATAGTGGCGCTGGTTTATGGCCTTACAGATGAACTTTATTGCATACACACACATTAACAACCCCCTCCCGGAAAGCGGTTACTTCAAAGGCTGTAAACTGAAGATCCACTTGCAAGTTAGGAGTTGCCATCTCACTAACACTGCACTGAGGGGTTACCTAGCTGGCCACGAGTGTACCCTCACCTCAGCACCACATTATTTTGTTAGAAACCCAGCAAACAAAAAGGCCAGCTGTAGCAAAGAATATAAAATTCAGCCAGTTATTCCAGGATGCACTGAATCGAGTCTGTCACACAGCTACCACTGCTGCTCTACTTCAACCCTCCTTACAGTGCTGAGGCAGCCTGGCAGCAGAAGAGATGGCCCTGAATGGGTTAACCAACTGTACTTGGGTCCTGGAGCCATCAGGCACAATTTCATGACTGTCATTCCAGCAAGCAGGCAGCACAAACCCAGGATTGTGAGAAAGTGAGTCTTGTCAGCAGTGGGTTGAGATGGCAAAGCAACACACTGTCCCCATTGCACAATAGGTGTTCAGTGTGCAGAGCTAGATCCAGCCTTCAAAACAGGGCTTTCCAAAACAGTTTAACCTCTGGGCTTTTTGTAACCACTCTGCTTTCAATCCACTCTTATTTCACTAAGAGCTAGGCAGGGGATAAAACAACCCAGGAATACAATCTGGGGAAAGAGGTCCTACTTACAGTCCTCTCAGAGCCAGCTCTGAAACACAGGGATAGTCATGAAATGTACCATTCATGTAGAGTCCATTCGATGGCTGGCAATACACCCGTCCCCAAAAGAGTGGGTAGGGGTAGCCAGCAAGATAAAAGGCTTGTTCTTTCAGATTAGAAGTCTCAGTAGAGATTGAAAGCTGCACCTTGTGATTCCTGAACTAAAAGATTCCCATGAAAAGAGTTTCAAGTTCTAGGTAAAGTCACTCGGGTAGCAGACAGCCATACAGCCAGGCTATTTACCGGGGGATGCATTTATAGGGCTTAAGTTCATGCATCCTCACATTCCACTGAGGTTTGTTAGGTTGTGATTAGCCTGTGGGCACAAGTACTTCAAGCACTAGCAGAGAATGCATCCTACACAGCAAATAGCTGCATTTCTACTCAGATTGTTGAAATGTCTCTTTGCAAGTGGTAGTTATTACAGACCCATGCACTCCTTGGCCCAGCAGCAAAACCACAGCCTTTGTGACCACACCCTTCTAGGGGCTCCTGTTAAGTTCCTTCTATATACCAATGTATACTCTTACCTGTTTTACTGCACCTTGAGCAGTAGAGCAAGAGAGGAAGCCAGTCACTCTAGTGGCATATTGAAGGGCAGAGTTAGAAGAGCAAGGGGGAAGGGGGTGGGGGGAGGAGAAACAGGGACTAGGGCAGGGGTGGGCAATTATTTCAGGCAGATGGCCACTCACTGAGTTTTGGCAAGCCATTGAAGGCCGCATGACAGGCAGCCTGGGGCAGATTAATATTAATTTTCTAAATTTTTTAGGAGCCCTGCGGGCTGGATAGAACAGCCCGGCGGGCCGCATCCAGCCCACGGGCCACATTCTGCCCATCCCTGGGCTGGGGCATCTTTGAGATAATTGGATTTAACTGGAAATA